ATATATATATATATATATATTTATCCAGGTGTTGGTGGCACACAGCTGTAATCCTAGCTACTCAGTTGGCTGAGATCTGAGGATTGCTGTTCAAAGCCACCCTGGGCAAAAAGTCCCTTTGACACTCTTATCATCAATTAACCACTCAAAAAACAGAAGTGGTGCTGTGGCTCAAGTGGTAGAGCACTAGCCTTGAGCACAAAAGGGCTCAGGGACAGTGCCCAGGCCCTAAGTTCAAGCCTCACAACTGACAAAAGAAATGTATATATATATATATGTGTATATACGCATATATATGTATATATATGTATATGTATATATATGAATACAATTTAAAAACTTTTTTGGGGGCTTCAGTCGTGGGGCCTGAACTCAGAGCCTGGGCTCTGTCCCTCAGCTCTTCAGCTCAAGGCTAATGCTCTACCACTTGAGCTACAGTGCCACTTCTGGCTTTTTTCTTTTTGCTTATGTGGTGCTGGGGGCCTCATTCATGCAAGGCAACTGCTCTACCACTGAGCCACCTTCCCAGCCCCTTTAAAAAGTTTTATAACCAAATTTAATTATTTTACTTTATCATTAGAAATAATGGCAGTGGGTTGTAGTTTTTGATCAGCAATCTTTAGAACTAATCTGCTAAGGCAGAGAACAGAAGGCTAATATGCTTACATTGATAGCACATTTTATAATATTCAGCTCCCACTAAAAGAGAGAGCAAGAAAAACAGAGAAAAAGAAATTCCATTTTGAACAAGCATAAAGCAAAGTGATGGGGAGTCATTTTTTAAATGACAGGAAAAATTGCTTAGTAAACTCAAACACTGTAATTCTACAACATTATTAGATTCTGCTTTATTTATTGGAGACAGTTTTGAAGATTATCTCCACATTGATGTATGTATAATAATCTTTTAAATTAAATATTCTCAGCCATTTTATATCTTCTTTTAATAGATTTTTAATGTTTTTCCTATGTATTTTGTGGACATAATCATGTTTTAAATTTTGTAGTTTGAGGCAATTTCAGGTTCACAGAAAATTGCAAAAGAAAAAGGAAAAATAGGAAGGCCTGGTACATCTTTTGTCCAGATTCTCCTTACATTAACTATTTCCCTAACTTAATACAATAAAACTCAAAAGTTGACATTAGAATAATGAAAGTGAACATTTGTGCCTTTGCAGTTCTATGAATTGTATCACATATTTAGCTTCTAGTAACTTCCACTGCATTCCAGAAAACGAAATGTATCATCACCACAAGGTTCCTTCCTGCTGACACTTCATGGCCACACTGCTCTCTTCCAAATCCCTAATGCCTGGCAACTGCTGCTCTCTACCCATATTATTATGCTATTTCAAGAATATTATGTAAATGGAATTGTACAGTATGCATGTTTTTGAGATTAGCTTTTTTAATCAGTATAATACCTTTGAGGTTCATCCAAGATACATGCATCAACACTTTGTTCATTTTTAATGTTAAGTAGTATCTCTATATATTCAGTGTGATCTTATTTAAAATCACTATGTATTGCCTCAGTTTATGTTATAGAATAAAGTGTGCTAGTCTTCAAAATTTATATCATATTATTTTATGTTAGAGTCCTAAGCTTCAGAACTTAGAATATGAATAGAGCTATATTTAAACTAGGGGCTTAATGAATAATTAAGATAATATAGAAGCTCTATAAAAGGGCTCCACTGAATAACATAATACGAAGAATGCAATAGGAAACTAGACACCAAGAAAAAATGATATATCAAGACATAGAAGAATAGAGGGATCTGTAAGCTACAGAGACAGAGCTCAGAGTAAAATCAAGGCTGTTGATGAGTTGATCTTGGATGCATAGCCTACAGAACCATAGAAAATAAATATCTGTTTTTGAAGTCACACAGTCTAAGGTATTTTATATGGTTTCCTTTTTATATTTTATTTTATTGTAAAGATGCTGTACAGAGGGGTGACAGTTACATGAGTAAGGTCATGAGTACATTTCTTGTCGAGCATTGTTATCCCTTTCCTTGTTGTTCTCCAACTATTCCTTCTCCGCCCTACCTCCCCTGAAGTTGTAAAGTTCATTTCCGATATACTGTCTTGTAGGTGTCATTGTTGCAATGGCTATTAGAGTACATAAAACTGGGTCATATTTATAAATTAATAACACACATATGTGTTTACTTACAATATTTTGTGGTAATCATTTGTGTATCATATAATTTATGAACTCTTCTTTAAGGAATTGGGTTAAGTCTCTGAAGCTTTTCCTGTATCGTAGTCTGTAATACAACTATGGTGTAGGGAAGTAAAGACAGTATATATGTATACATATAAAATCCTAAAAGTGGTCATGTCTGACTGAATCACAAATTTACAGTATTATAAAAGGTACAATTAACGGAACTTACCAGTTTCTTTTCTTTTTTTTTTTGTTCAGTCATGGGTCTTGAACTCTGGGCTTGGGTGCTGTCCCTCAGCTCTTAGCTCAAGGCTAGCATTCTACCAACCACAGTGCCACTTCTAGTTTTCTGGTGGTTAATTGGTGATAAGAGTCTCACAGGCTTTCCTGCCTATGCTTGCTTTGAACCTTGTTCCTCAGTTCTCAGGCTCCTGAGTAGCTGGCATTACAGGTTTGAGCCACCAGAGCCCAGCTCAGATTTTTAAAGATAGTTTAACTACTTGTTGAAAACTACCCATAGACAACAGCATTTGCACATTTTTAGAGGGGATCTTGGCTGGAATGCTTTTAGAACAGACACATGAATTATAATCAAAATAACTTTACAGAACTGGCTTTGACATGTAAAAAGAGATGTCAACCTAATTAGAAAAATGAAAATTTAGTTGATTTAATGATAAAGTCATTAATTACCTTCACCTAACGTTATCTACTCTTGATGTGGACACCCAATAATGGACCCAATTATTGCAGATACATCTTACCTCCTTTTGCATAAGTAGATTTATTACAAAACAGATTATGCCTTTCCGGTGGGAAACCTATCCCACACACTCTATAGCTTTACTGTCTTTTTGACTTCATGGGAAGACCATCAAAAATACAAATGACTTTAGAGGTATGCTACAATAGACACAATATTTTATAGAAAATGTGGAAAAATCCCTTCAGATACTCAGTCTTCATAGAAATCTCCCAAACCTGGAAGTATTCCTCAATAGAGAAACATCTGTCGAATTAGCAAAATATCAACAATATCCAATACAATCCCCTTTCAACATGCAGGATGCCTGTTCAATGTCTGCTAGACTGTCACTTGAATACCACTCCATGATTCAAAATAATGCATACACCTACCAACTTCAGAGCAAAGAATACATATACCTTTTCCTGGATATTTCTGACTTTTTGTCTTTTCACAACATAACTAATACCAGTTTTTTCTTTCCCCATGACCTAAAATCAGAAATCAGGCTCTAACAGGAGTCATTCTCTCTGGGTGATGTTCAGTCTGGGAGCATACAATAACATCAAAACTCTCACTGATAGCAAGTCCACATCAGGAAGGTTGGACCCAACCAACATGTCTTAAGAAGCGCTAACACCACCTGCAACTAGGTGGCCACCTTTACTTTTAGGGTTGGCTCCTTCTGATCTTCTTCATCTGTGGGAACAACTCTTACTGATGCCTATTAACCAGCTGGACTGGTGTCTACACTCTGATTTGTTTCCCCATACCTCAGTTTTCTCAGATGACTAAATGTTTGATGATGACTAAGACTTTTCTCTCCTAGCTGTAATTGTGGAGGTAGAGATACTAAGCACAAATTGGCAGGCATAGCTACCTCTCTAATAAATGATCAAATTATAATATGTTCACCTCAATCACTGACCTCCAGAGGCCGATAAACTTCCTCACAGCGGTAGCACTTCAAAACCATTCAAGGTTGGACTTACATAGAGGTGGGTGGAATTTGTGTCTTCTTACATGAAGAAGGTTTCTTCTTAGTAAATGAGACCAGCATAGTCCTAGAGGCAGCGAAGAGGCCCAGAGATATGGCCTCAGACTTCAGAGAAGAAACAGCTAAGGGCTTAGGGCCACTGGTGCTTCCCCTCCAGATGACACCTGTTCATACTACTTTCAATAGTGATGTTTGACCTTTTCATTATTAACCTTGTCACCGTTTTTCCCCAACATTTTGAGATTTCGTTAAGGGCACCTACACAAAAATGTATTGACAATATTCTTCTCAAATGGTGTCATTACCTGCAAAATCTTTTGATCTCCAATGATCACACCAGACCTCCTTTTAAGTCTTTACTTCATTTCTTCCTTTATCCCTATTATCCCACCATAAACACTGTCCTTCCTATGCAGGAAGTAGACAGAAGAACCTTCCCTGCCCAGGCTCCTATCTTACCCCTTTCAACAACTAATAAAAACAAAAGGTAAAATCAGTACGTCTGAATAGCCAGATGTAGTTATCTCCAAACTCCAGACCATTCCATTGATGTAAGCAAGTTCCCACTTTACTTTCTCTCCTGACTGACTGTAACCCGTTTGGCTGGTACCAGACCAAGGCTGAAGGTTGCTTTAAAACAGACCAAGGTTTTGCACAGACATCCCTTGCCTTGCTCACTCCCTCTCCCCAGCTGCAAATCCACTGCGCACATTATCTACAGTTATCATCAGTTACATTCCTACCAGCCCTCACCAAACAACTCTATCATGCCCACAGACTCACTATGAAATGAATGAATCTGTTAAGTTTTGGCTGGAAGCTTTCACCACAGGTTTTTCCTCCCAAATACATCTGTGCTGGTACTGCGCCATCTTTTGGTCTGTTCTCTGTGCCTTTGGAACCTAACTATAATATCAAAACTACTGTCTGAACCTTAGGAAAGAAGAGAAAAATCTTTTCTGAAGTCTGTAGCATATATTATTGTCTTGCACCAAACACAGATACATGCTTAATTATGCATAGCATATTATGCATAAGAAGGAGCGAGAACTCAGTTTTGAGAGAGCAGCAGTGGAACTTACCATCTTGATCCGTGGTCACTGTAATAGCTGTGAATGGCTTGGGAGAAAAACTCAACTCAGAAACTCCATTCATGGCTTCAATTTCAAAGGTGTAATTCACGTGAGAAACAAAGTCAAGTACTATCACAGAGTTGTTGGTTAGGCCAGTATGTCTTGGGATGAAGCGGAGTCCTCCACCACAGTCCTCACATTGGCTGGTGTCTAAGCCACATTTCTTACAGATTACACTGTAGGTGACATCTTTTCTCCCTCCTGTGTCACTTGGTGGGCTCCATTCCAAAATTAGGGCTGTTTCATTGATGTTAAAAGCCACATTCCTAGGAGCTGAAGGTGGCCCTAGAGAAAAGCAATTAAAAAAAAGATGTGCATGTATAGGACAATGAATGATGAGCCAAATTGAAAACTTCATAAATACTTATTGGTTTCTATTAGTACATCTCTTTTTCTTATGGTCAGTATAACATGTGGTTCAAAGTCTACTGAGGGAAGTCTATAATTCTAACTTCTAGACATACGAATTCAAATATTTAATGTCAAATGCAGATGATTTCCATATTTTTTGACTGAAAATATGTGTGACAAAGATTATTTTAAATTATGTGATGGCTGTAACTATTACCTTATTAATTATATCCCCATTTAAAATTTTAAAAAGCTACTAACAAGCATATACACAATTTGTACTCGGTCTCTTTTTGATACTATGGTTTGTAGACAAAACTCACATTCATTCTCTTTGAAACCATTCACAATCTCTTTTCCAAACATTGGGAAATAATGGCAATAATTATGAATGGAAAGACAAATGGAGGAAGAGGAGAAATGGAAATTGGAGGTAGTATAATTTCTTTAATGAGCACTTTCCCAATTCGAAGGTACAAAAGCATTATATGGCAGCATTTAGAAAGGCACCATATGTAAAACATGTTCAGTAGACTTAGATTTATTTTATTCTTGCTAAACACAAGTAAATTTGTCCTTAAATATAAGAGTATCACTAAAAGAAATCCAATCAGCACTTTTATTTTTCATCAATGATGTATGAATTAACATCCTTATGAAGTAGAAAAAACATTGTTCTCACTGTTTTTCTGAACAGATTGCACTGTGTGGAATACTTAAGAAATATTATTTATTCCAGGCTGTTTAAAAAACAATGGCTATCATCCTTTAATAATCTGAGTTTTTCAATTTTTAGTTTGTCATCATTTTTTGAACAAACACTACTTGAATATCTGCTCAGAGCCAGGTACTGTACTAATTGCTTTATGTGAAATACTAAGAAATGAATATTCTGTAAGGATAATACAGGTGAAAGATATTGTGGAAAATAACTCTGGTTTGTTCTAGTTGAACAAACAGAATCCCTGCTCTAGTTTTAGATGCATTTCTTTTCAGAAACGCAAAATAAATGTCTAAGTTTCTGTTCCCAAGAAAATGAATTTCCTCTGGGAATTCCACTAAGAGTAAAGAGATTTCTTTGTAACATTCTTTCCTTAAAATGAAATTCAAGGTTTGATGTAAGCTTTTATAAATACTGATATTTTATAGCAGATTCTCTGTTTTAACAGTAGTAAATGTATTAGACATTATGTCTTCTTTGTTGCTTTTTACATTTTTATGGAATGTCTAGATTAAAAACACAGAAACAGAAAATGAAATTCTACCCCTCTGTACATCACCTTTGCACTAAAATTAAACAAATAACATTTTTTTCAAAAACAGCCGAAATAAACTGTCAAGAGAACCTTACTTTTTTTTTTTTTTTTTGGTTGGTCGTGAGGCCTGAACTCTGGGCCTGGGCACTGTCCCTTGGCTCTTCAGCTCAAGGCTAGCACTCTACCACTAGAGTCACAGCTCCACTTCCGGCTTTTTCTGCTTATGTGGTGCTGAGGAATCGAACCCAAGGCCTCATGCATGCAAGGCAAGCACTCTACCACTGAGCCACCTTCCCAGCCCCGAGAACCTTACTTTAGGTAAGATACTGAGAAGGGTTTGGGAAGTAGTGAGAGGTATGTAGAGAAGGGCAGGAAGAATATTAGAGATCCAAACCATGTAAGTTGTCAAGCAATATCTTGAAATAGACATAGGAGTGGCAGAAAAACAATGTGAATAGATTTCAGATGGAAAATGCAAAAAGTAAGTTTTAAGTAATAGGAAAAGAGTCAATAATTCAGGCCAGCAAGGGTAATTGAAATGAAGTTGAATGTTTTACTGTATGCCAAGAAAAAATATATAGCTCTTACATATGGAAGTGTTATAGAATGAATATTCTGGGTATACTTTGGTGAATGGTCCGTGTGAGGTTAGCAAACTTAGCAAGGAGTCTATTAGATAGTCATAAAATAGAAAGACATTAGCCATAAATCTGTATGACTATATTTTGGCTTTCAAATATTAAGAGTGTCATATATTTTCCTTTAATTTTGATGTCAGCAAACTTTAGAGTAGGTCCTTAACCCCTTATATGAGCATCACCTGAAGTAGGACCTAGAAATGACCAGGAATTTTTCTAAAAGGTTTTTGAATGTTTTGCTTTATGTTATATTATTTGCTCTTCATGTTCTAGAGACCTACAGAGGTATACCATCATGAAGAAAAATGTGAGGGATATCATATACTTCAGCATAGGGACAAATGTGCTTTTCACATTCAGACTGGACTTGTGCTTAGGAGAGAAAAAATTGCTATTATCTTAGTGTTTTCCTACAGAATGACATGTTTATATTGTTGGGTGTCCTTTTATTTATAATAAGAAACAACAATTATTATTTGCTTATAACTCTATAACTAGGAAGGATGTTATCAATTTTGTTATGGGATTCTACAATTATACAACTATCTGCCTGGAGATGGTAAAAGAAAAATTAACAAAAAGACCAACACCCTTCCACTCAAGGGCCCTCAGACCAATTTGCATGGCGATTAAATAGCTTTTTAATTGCTGTTAAATTATGCCAGCTAAACTGTGATTTCATGCAAATATTAAGCTGTAATGACATGCAGTGAATCATTTACTAAGATTTAGAACTTGGAACAAAGAGCGACAATTAATTCTAATCCTCAGATTCAACCAAATTATGTGTCACTGGCATTTTATGAATGTGGCCTGATTGCTTTGTTATCATTTATAAATTACACAAAGATTATAGGACACATTGAAAAAAATAACTCAGCAGAAATAACTCGTTTAAAGATAACTATATTGAAAACTCTCAGGGACTTCCTTAAGTTGATTTCTCTCTTTTGAAGGAAACAAATCATTTACACAAAAATGAACTCTTCCACCCTACCTTCTAAACTCATTTGAAAACAAAAGAACAATTATTTGATCTGCAATTAGAATTTTTTCCAAGCCTATCCCAAAAGAAGTCTTGATAAATCAAGTTTCCTTCTACCAATTTTCCTACAAAGTTATTTCTACTGGTTTTTCTATCTTTTTTTTTCTGCTAGTGATTCTACTTGAAAACATATTTCTTGCTTTGGTTTGGGTTTTTCCTTTTAAACTTCTAAAGAAGAAAGAATGAGTGCTCTCACAGTAAAACATTGCAGAAGCTTGTGAGAAGCCTGTTTCTTTCCTTCACAGGAATGGTCTACCCCATCTGGCTCTCAGTACAGCAGAAGCCAAGTGTACTGTTTTTTGACCTCAAGAATAAGGAAAAATAGATTTGGGGGTTATGGTAGTATATGAGGCATACCATCACTTGGTAGACTGAGGAGGATTTTGTTTCAAGTTCAAGGCTAGCCTGGGCTAGACTTAATTTAAACACATACACACATACACACACTCACACACACTAAGAAAACAGAACAAAATGTCATAATTTGATGATCAATATTTCTTCTTCTTGGTTGCCAGCCTATGGTGTTATGGGAAGGTAGTAAAAAGTTTAGGTGGTAGATCTAGTGGTCACTAGTTTACTGGGGGTCTGGATCACCAACTCTTTTTATCTCTCTCTCTGCTCACTGGATGCCATGAAGTAAGCAATTTTGTTTCACTATTGAAGAGGAACTGAAACCATAAGCCAATATGTCTTTCCACCATTAAATTGATTTCTTCAGGCACTTTTCACAGAGTGACAAAAATCTGCTCACACAAATTGATCCCAGAACATAAAGTCACAAAAGAGTATAGTTTATTATGTTCTATTTTGCCACTTCTTGAATGATTACCTTTGTTAGTTTAATGACTACTGGGAATGTAATAATATTGTTTCCTAAAATAAAGCAAATTTATTCATAGTCACGAGCTTGTAAATGAGAAGCAAATAATTTAATGTTAATATGTGTCAAAGAACTACTATAATACCACAAAAATGTTCTAGGTAGCCATGTAAAAATGTTTAGGTAGATGGCTTTATGAATTAGTAACTCTAGAATATTCACTAAAAAGATAAATGCATTGGGACAAAGAGTGCAAATTTTCCCCCAAATAAGCTATTCTATATAATGATAAAAATAATTTAAAATTCCATTTAGCTGAGTATGGGTGGCTCACACCTATAGACCTAGCTTTTGAGGAGTCTGAGATCTGAGGATTTCAATTTGATGCTAAATCATACAGGAAAGTCTGTGAGACTCATCTCCAATAAACAACCAAAAAAGTTGAAAGTGGAGCTGTAGCTCAAGTGATAGAGAGCTAGCTTGAGCAAGTACACTCAGGGGCAGTGGTTGGATCCTGAGTTCAAGCCCCAGACCACTACTACCTCCACCAACAAAATATATCACTTATTTAGCACATATAGTAATTGAAATGTTGAAGGGAGAACTCAAACAGCGTAATTTCTTAGAAACACTATGTCAAAAGATCAACGAAACAAACACCAGGAAAGGGTACTTGAAAGGGGTGGGAAAAGTGGGATTAGAGAGAGGGGGTAGATGAATTAAGAGAAGAAGAGGGGAGACTATAATAACAATCAGTGTATCTCATACAGAATTAAGGAAAATGAAGGAAGGGTTTTGGACTGGGAGGAATTCATTGGACTGATCAGAATGCATTATATTCACAAACTGCTTTGTTGAATGGCAAGTACTTTGTACAAATATGTAAAAACAATAAAAATTAAAATAGTCTCTATTAAGCCATTTTTTTTGCAATTTCAATTTAACTTTATTTTTGGTGATTCTGCCAATGGAACCTAGGACTTCATGTCTCCTAGAAATGTACTTTTGTACTTAAGCTATACGATTAGTCCTTTTGTTTTTTTATTGTGTTTTTCAGATAAAGTGTTGCTAACTTTGGCCAGGCTAGACTTAGACTTGTGATCTTCCTGTCACTGCTGCCCAAATAGCTAGGAGTACAGGTATTTATCACCATGCCTAGCTATGATTTTTAA